CTGGGTCTTGTTTAGGACTCTTAGACTGCTTCTTTGGCTCTCCCTCCAGAGGCGTTGCTGTGGCTGCGGTCCTGCCTTTGGCTGTTTCTGAGGGGGGGTCCCAGGTCACTTGGCAGTTACTCGAGTGGTTGTGCAGGAGTTTGACCTTCGGTGTGCTGGTCTACCTGACGGGTCGGGTTTGGCTTCGGCGTCTGTTTTGGTTCCTTCAAGGACGCTCCTTCCGCCTCTCTTGCGATCGTTGGGTTCGTTCTCGGGGAACCTTGTGTTGGTGCTGTGTTGTCAGCTTCCTCTTCTGGGTTTTCAGAGTTCCGTGCCGTGGTGCCTCCCCAAGCCTTCACTCGATGTGTTCACGGACAGGTCGTCTCGTGGCAGGGGTTTTGTGACCAGTGGCTTCGTGGCCCCTTGGTGGCTGGCCCAGCTTTGTTTTCAGACGCTGCTTGATCGGTGTCTGAACCCAGGGCGTTTCCTCCGGCTCTGCCACTTTCGGCAGGTCGGAACGGTCTGGTACATGGCTGGTTCGGCCATCGCTTCGGCTCTTCGCATCCAGTCTTTTGACGCAGGTGTATCACCATTCTTATGGTAATCAGGTGGCTTCGTTGAGGGTCTCCCATCTACGAGCTTCGTCTCTACGTCAGTACAGTATGTAGTTTCCTGGCGTTTCTTTTTGCCTTTTTTCTTGCTCTTTGTAGGCTGTTTTCTCTTTCGTATCGGGTTGTCTTGTCCTTTCTTGGTTTTTCAGGACCATTAATTGATGCTTCTTACTGTCGCCTCGTATCGTGCAGCACTGGCGGACCCGCTTTGGCTTGTGTTCAGGGTGGACGTCACATCCGCCCCGTTCTGTATGCTTTCTCGTGCTTTGTTTCACCTCCGGCCTGCTCATGTGCTGCCTGAGCCATCCTGATCCTGGATCAGGATGCTCACTTATCTTTCCTCAGTTTGTAGTAGCCCCTTCGGTTTAAGATTGTTTTTTGAAGGCCATATTTTTGTTGGCATTGGCCTCTGCGGGTTGGGTCGGGAAGCTTCCAGCTCTCCTCCTACACAGGGGTTTCTGCTCTTTTGGTTCTGGTGGTAGATTTGTACGTTTGCAATCTTCTCCGTCTTTCTGGCGAAGGCCAAGATGGCTGCTTTCTGGAGGGGGGTCCTTGGGTTTTTTATGCTTGGTTGGTTCGGTAGGGGGGTGCGTTATGTGTTGTGTCTGGTTGCGGCTCTTCACCGTTACCTTGCGTGCTGTGGCTGGAGATGCGCTTTGGGTTGATCCGGTTCCCCTCGTTCCCTGTTCCAGGGCTCGGGTCTCCCAGGTTGTCCGCAGGGTTCTTAAGTCTACCAGCCTGCGGGCTAGTCTTGCACCCGTGTCGTTCAGACGTTTGCAGCTTTCACTGACGTGTTTGGTAACATGTCTTGGACTTAATTCGGGCATGGAGATTTGGAGGTCGCACAGGTTCCTGGCCACCCGTTATTATGTAAGCATGTCTGCTTCTGGGCCTTCTTGTGTTGCTTTAGGTCGCAGGTTGCTGCCTGTTGTCTCAACTTCGCGTTGCGGAGTTTGTGGCGGCCGCCTCCCGGGTCAGCCCTTTCTTTTCCTTCTCCTTGTGTATGTAGCTCCAGGGAGCCATAGGGGCTTCCCACAAAAAACTAGCATTGAAAGTAATGAAACATCATTTTCTGGATGAGCCTCGGAGGCTCCCTGGCAACCCTCCCTCCCACCAGTCAGCGGTTTTTCGCATGGGTTGAAGCTTAGCTTCCGAACTGGAGTGCTAGGCAGCTGGTGCGGTGAGGTCCGGGGGCCCCCCTTCCCCTCTCAGGGAGGGAGGGGAGGTTACCTTACCTTGAGGTTACCTTGAGGTGCTTCCGGGGCTTAGTGTCCCCGCGGCCCGGTCGTCGACCAGGCCTCCTGGTTGCTGGACTGGTTGCTGGTTGCTGGGAGGGCTGTGCAGATGAGGGGCATGGCAGTAAAGTGTGATGTTTGCTTGTTTGCTTGTTTACTTGGGATTTTAGGGAGTTTCTACCTCTATGTTCGTTTTTTTGTTTTAGTTTCTTACCAAGTGGGGTTTGTTTTGTAATGCCTACCTTTCTGGGTGACTAACCCCGGTCGATGGCAGATAAGGAAAACCCCCAACCATAGGGGGGGGGGTTTCCAGGGTCATTGCTTCCTGAAACCTCTCTGAAGGGGCCAGGTTCTTGCTCTGTTTCCTTGTAGGTCTGTACTCCATAGCTAATATCCAGATCTAATATAACATACATTAGCCCAATATGCTCCAGGAAGCCTCCAGGGCTCACCCAGAAAATGGTGTTTCATTACATTCAACGTTGGGTTTTTTGTTGGTGTTGGCCTCTGGGGGTTGTGTTGGAGAGCTTCATGCTCTTCTCTAGTGCCAGGGATTGTGTTTCTTTGGTCCTGGTGGTCGTTTTGTTTGTTTGCAACCATCTCCTTATTTTCTGGAGAAGAATGAGATGGCAGGCTTCCAAAAGGGTCTTGGTTGTGGATGCTTTGTTGGGGAGTGCATCACGTTCTGTGCCCAGTAGCTGTTTTACGCTGCTACCTGGGGGACACCGGTTCTGTCAGTGGACATTCTCTGGGTTGATCCGGTTTCCCTGGTTCCCTGCTTCAGGGCTCGTGTTTCTTAGGTTGTCCGCAATGTCATTAAGTCTATCCAGCCTGCAGTCTACCCTTGCGCTCATGATGTTTGGAAGTATGATGCTCTTTCAGCTGTATTTCATAATATGTATCAGGATGATATTCAGGTGCGGGGGTTTTGGAGGTTGAACAGGGTACTTGGTGCCAGGTATCTCGTGAACATCCCAGGTCTTCTGCGGTCTTGTGGGGCCTTGGGTTACCTATCTCTTCCTTGGTTTGAGACCGGCGTTGCTGCTGCCTTCCTGGTAAGTCCCTGTTTGCATTCTTTGTGGGTATTTAGCTTCAGTGAGCCAACAGGGCTCCCCCACAGAAAACTAGCATTGAATATAATGAAACGCCAGTTTATGAATGAGCTCCAGAGGCTCCCTAACACACTCTCTCCCTTAGGTCGGAGGGAGGGTGTCAGGGAGCCAATTGGTGGGTTGCTGTCTCACTCAGGCTGGCTTCCCTTCTCCCCATGGGGGATGGATGGATGGCACTAATGAGTGGGGGGCTAGTTAAATGACATGATGCTTGTTTGTTTTCTTTCTGGGGGAGTTCTTTTGCTATTTGAAGCCGTAGCTCGCAATTTTCAACCAGACAGTGGTCTGTTTTGATTCGCTTACTCTTCTGGGTGCCTTCCCCGGTAGATGGCAAAATATGACATACTTACACACAGAGATCACACTAACGTGATGCATCAAATGAACAAATCCACAAGGGCCGTGACGAGGATTCGATCCTGCGTCCAGGAGCATTCCAGACACTGCCTTAATCGACTGAGCTACGACAGGGTTAAAAAGAGTTGAAACCGAAGTTCTACTGAACTTGCTGGATCCCGTAGCCTCTCCGAGGTACAAACCAGGATTTTACACAACTCCCCCCTGCACCCGAGCTATGTTAATAGGCCGAATCTCCCTTTTCGCCCTTACATCATTAGACACAAAGATCACACTAACGTGATGCACTCTTTTAACCCTGTCATAGCTCAGTCGATTAAGGCAGTGTCTGGGATGCTCCTGGACGCAGGTTCAAATCCTCGTCACGGCCCTTGTGGATTTGTTCATTTGATGCATCATGTTAGTGTGATCTCTGTGTGTAATGATGTAAGGGCGAAGAGGGAGAACGGCCTAATGACATAGCTCGGGAGCAGGGGGGAGTTGTGTAAAATCCTGGTTTGTGCCTCGGAGAGGCTACGGGATCCAGTAAGTTCAGTAGAACTTCGGTTTCAACTCTTTTTTTAACCCTGTCGTAGCTCAGTCGATTATGGCAGTGTCTGGGATGCTCCCGGACGCAAGTTCGAATCCTCGTCATGGCCCTTGTGGATTTGTTCATGACATACTTAAAATGTAAAGTGTTCATAGGCCAATGCTTAGCGCACCTCTTTGAGGGGGGCCAGGTTCTGGCTCTGGTTCCCAGTAGGCAAAAGGACTCTGACTGATGACTCCAACTAATATAGCACTATATCAGTATGGACAGCTTGAGGAAGCCTCTGGTGCTCACCCAGAAACTGGCTTTTCATTACTTTCAATGCTGGTTTTTGTGCTCATGGGTTCTGGCAGATAGCATAAAACAATCAAGATTTATCCTGGCTTCTAGTTGGCAAGGGCGGGTCTTGGAAGCCTTGTGCTTCTTCCTAAAGCATTGCTAAACCAGGGCTTAGCTTGAAGGGGTATTGAAAGCTCCACCAGAAAAGGGCATTTCATTTCTTATAAGGATTGGTTTTTTACATGAACAGAGCAATATGAAGTAAACAAAAATTCTTTAATAAATACTGTGTAACTTCTCCCTTATAACTATACAGTAACAGTATAACTATGAATTTTGCACTTTCACACCTTTGTCTGTGTGTGTGTGTGTGTGTGTGTGTGTGTGTGTGTATATATATATATAAATATATATATATATATATATATATATATATATATATATATATATATATATATATATATATATATATATATGTATATAATATAATATAATATAATATAATATAATATAATATAATATAATATACACACATACACATTCACAGTATATATATAATATTTTTATATTTCAGTTTTAATTATACATTATGAACATAAAATACATTGATTCCTAGCAGTTACATGCAATTATAACATTCACATATTATATCAATACCTCAATCATCCGAAAATTGGGTTAACCAGAACCATTATTTTCTGAAGCGTTAAGTCTTGTTGTATATAAATGTTTCCTGTATTATATATATATATAGATAGCTTTGATATACAGTATAGACATAAGACATTCTGGATAGTTGATTGGAAGTCTGTGTAATAAGGACTGCGTGATTGGGGTATTGTTATAGCGAAGGAAATTAAAGTTCCAGAATTGCATGTTAAGTTCTTAATTGTTTCAGGCTGTATGGGTATCTGTACTAACTCAGCATGAGACTCATAAAGTAGGTAGATTATGATCTTTCTCTTGTGTTAGTAAATAGCATGACAGGCTTTGTGCGTGTTCCCTGCAGGCAGCGTGACTTGCTGGAGCTGTCTTGCCTTTGGCCATCTTGCCATTTACCCAAAGAATGTGTCACCTTCACAAGCTCTGGTGTACTAAGTTGACCTAATAATATATAATTACCTCATTCACAGTATAAGTGTTACATTGCAGAGTTGAGAAATTGTGACCTTTCTTAGCCATTGCGTTTGACGGGCAGTTTTACCGCATAGTTTTGGATGTCTTTGTCCTTCAGTCACACTGTATGTTCTGTCACACTTCAGATGTGTGATGTATTCTGTATACAACATTTTATGGCACTGAATTTGTAGTTTTAAGCCCATAAGTCATATTTTAAATAGAGTATTACATATTTGATTATTTAATTCTCATCTGGAACTGTTAAGTCTTGAGGCATTGTCCTATTTGAGAGCCATTCAAAAAATTATTAACTATAATTAAATATTTGAAGATGTTAGACACTTCAGCCAAATTCATTCAGTCCTTCATGATCTTTTTCTTCAAGTACTATACTGTAGTATGTGATTTTCTTTAGCATTTTGTATCTGCTTGCAAAAATAATAAACAAAATTCTAATTAATTTCCAGTCTATAAATTAGATCAGGCTTCAGTTATGACCTTCAGATATTTGTATTAATAATTATCTTATTCAAAAATATATATATATATATATATATATATATATATATATATATATATATATATATATATATATATATATATATATATATATATATATATATATATATATATATATATGTCGTACCTAGTAGCCAGAACTCACTTTTCAGACTACAATGCAAGGCCCGATTTGCCTAATAAGCCAAGTTTTCATGAATTAATATATTTTCTCTAATTTTTTTCTTATGAAATGATAAAGCTACCCATATCATTATGTAAGAGGTCAATTTTTTTTTATTGGAGTTAAAATTAACGTAGATATATGACCGAACCTAACCAACCCTACCTAACCTAACCTAACCTATCTTTATAGGTTAGGTTTGGTTAGGTAGCCGAAAAAGTTAGGTTAGGTTAGGTTAGGTAGGTTAGGTAGTCGAAAAGCAATTAATTCATGAAAACTTGGCTTATTAGGCAAATCGGGCCTTGCATAGTAGGCTCAGAAGTGAGTTCTGGCTACTAGGTACGACATATATATATATATATATATATATATATATATATATATATATATATATATATATATATATATATATATATATATATATATATATATATATATATATATATATATATATATATATATATATATATATATATATATATATATATATATATATATATAAAATATGACAGTGTCAGACCACTGAGGAAGAATTGAAACAGGAATTTCCTTAACCACTTAACTGCGCCAACCGAGTATTCTCGGTCAGCGGGAAACTGCGCCAACCGAGAAAAGTCTTTGATTTTTCCGTACCCATTCTAAATATGTGCGTGGCTGGTTGTGTATGAAATGGACTCTTAGGACCTCCAGTGTGAGGCAGCCATCTTGGAAAAAATTCCCAAAATGCCCTAGGGCTGCTGGCTGGGTTAGTACTAAGTGAGCAACCATGGGTGGCGCACGTGCCTCTGGCTCCCAAACACCTGTCCGACGCGGTGTTCAAAGATAATGCTCTGTCGCTGAAATTCAAACCTTATTGTTTGAAGAACTTAAGGGTCATAATATTGGTGAAGCTAGGCACAATAAGGACCTTAACTCAAAGGTCGGATGCAAGTGATACAGCACTGATGAGAACGATATAGCGAGCATATCCAGTTGTAGCTTTGAGCGCCACTCTTGCCCACCCCATGTCATCTCCAATTTTTATACATACATAGATGAATCGTTTTCTGCATTCAGTGATGATGCATCTGATAGAAGCAGCATAGATGAACAGTGTTAGCAGCTTCCATGGTAGTGTTTTCCATAGATATTTTCAAGAAAAGCTGAATCTCTTCCTGACAGACGGACACTCTTTGAGGCTAGCTGAATCTCTTCCTGATTTACGGACACTCTTTGAGGCTAGTTGAATCTCTTCCTGTGTGGGACCTTACAAAGCGATCTTTTCAAGACTACCTTACAAATTGATCTTTTCCTATAATCTTTTCAATACTACCTTATATTTTACAAGCTTGGCTACATACCACCTACACGTACTAAAGCCAAGGGTGTAAATGAGTGCGTTATTTGCAAGCACACAGAACGAAGAAACAGGAAGCAAAAATCTATCTGTACCTGGTGCACCGAGAGTGAAGTCGCGGTGTGCACCATGGACTACTTCGTTGATTATTACTCACTTCCAAAGTACTGAGTGTGTAATACAGTGTGTTACTGTGTAAATAGTGTGTGAAACTGTATATATTGTAATTTTAGTGAATTTTTAACAAGTAATATTGCAACTAAACATTTATTATGGACACATACTGACACATGTATCAGAGTGCCATGGAACATTATGAACGTTCTACTGTATACATATTGTAAAGGACACAAATAGGCATCATATACGATAAAAAAAAATAAATAATACCGCATTGGAAATACGTAGAACAAATAATTGAAAATATATTTGTGGCAACACCTGGTGCTTGAATGGCCCGCGTGACCGTGTCTGTGCGCGTCACGCACGGGTGACCAGGCCCTGATGACGTCACAGTTGCACCTTGTCCACGTCCCCACAGCCAAAGTAGGTGGAATTTGGTATTTATTTTTAGATAGACATGTTCAGGGAAGGGAATTTATCATGTTACGAAGAAATAGAGAATTTTTGGGGAACAAAACAAGGAATTGCACAGGAGGAATTTCACAATAAACTTGGCGCAGCATGGGGGTTAAGTACTTTTGTATATTAATACATCTTCAGAAGGAATGATTAATTTCCTTCAATTCAATAATTGATTGAAGATGTATTAATATACAAAAGTACCTAATTAAATGCCTGTTTCAATTCTTCCTCCGTGGTCTGACATTTTTCATTACATGTTAATTTTCGTGATTTACACACACACACACACACACACACACCTTGACCTTGAGGTGAGGTGAAGCTGGAGGAGGCAGAAGTCACACTGCAGCAAGCTCCTGGAAATATCGAATTACCTAAGTATTGGGAACAGGTTGAGGGCTACAGTGATGTCCCAGGTTACATAAAAGTTCAGGGAAGAGTAAAAGCAAATAAAATACAATAAACAAGTAAAACTGAGTGAAAATAGCCGAGTGGAAAAGTTTGTTTTGGTCTAGAACAAAAACAAAGATGGCCGCCGCCACCACCCCCACTGAGAATGTAGACACACCAACAGATGATGGTTTCAAAGGATTCTCACCACAAGATATAAGGAAAGGAGGTGTTCTTGGCAGGTTAGAGATAATTGAGGACATGCAAAAGAAGTATGAAGAAAAAGTGCTTAAATTAGAAGAGGACAATGGAGCTCTTTGGAGTGAGCTTTGCACTCTAAAAGGGAGTATGCTTCAACAAGGTAAGATTATTACTGCATTAACAGACAAGGTAACAAATCAGGAGGAGCAAATCAAGGAGCTAGTGAAAGAAAATGAGGCATGGAAAGTGAAGTGTGGTGACTTTGAAGAAATAAACAAGAAGATAGACTCATATGGTGAACAACTCCAAGCAAGCCTAAGGGCTAACATAGAGTTAGGTAAGGATCTCCAACTGGAAACTTCACTGACAACTCACATAGAGGAGGTGAATAAAGAACTAGAAAAGTATAAAGAAGAAATAAAAGCGACATATGCTGAAGTTGTAAAAGAGAAAGAGACTATCAAAGAAGTGTGTTCGGAAGTCAAAACCAGAAATGACCAACAAGAAGCAGAAATTAGGCAAGCAATTAGGAAAGAACTGGTTACCAACAGTAAACTGGTACAAAACACTGCAGATAGAACTAAGTCCATAATCATTTTTGGATGTTTAGAGAAGGAAATTTCATCTAGGGTGGACCGAGCGGCAGAAGAGATGAAAATCATAGAGAAAATAGTAGGTTTAGGAGAAGGCTCAAAGGAAAATGTCAGTGATTTTAGAAGAATAGGAAAATATGAGAAAGAAAAGAACTGCCCCTTAAGGGTGACGTTTAATGGAGTGAAAAACATGATGGAAGTGCTAAGAAATGCCAGGAAACTGCAGAGTGATGAGGTTGGCAAATTTTGGTCAATAAGACAAGACCTCTCCAAGGAAGACAGAGAAAAGCTGAAAATGAACTTAATTGAGGCAAAACGGCTAAATGGGGATAGAAATGAAGAAGACAGAAATTCTTTTTTTTACAAAGTGACAGGGACTGGAAAGCTTGTGAAATGGTACATAAAAACAAAGCAACAAGATCAGTAGTGGAAGGGGAAGTAAAGAGCAAAGGAAAAGGGAACATGTTCCTGAAAATTGTATATACCAACATAGATGGAGTGAGGTCAAAAACTTTGGAATTGCAAGATATAATCCAGCTTAGGGTCCCAGATATTGTTGCATTATCAGAGACGAAACTTGAAGGAAATATAATAAATGAAGTCATATTCCCAAGAGGCTACTCAGTTTGGAGACGTGACAGGAAAACTAGGAAGGGAGGAGTGGCTGTACTGGTGAAAAAACACCTGAAGGTAAAAGAGTTAATATTTGAGAACCCTCGAGATATTGACATAATGGCATTGCAGGTCTGGAATCAGGATGATAACCTGATAATTGTAAATACCTACAGCCCACCAGCAAGCAACACGTGGACAAAGGAAGAACTGGATGACAAACGAGAGGGCCTCATAATGGTCATGAGAGATATTATTGTACAAGCAGATAAAGATAAATCACGACTGTTGATACTGGGGGACTTCAACTTTAGAGCAATAGACTGGGAGGCCTATGAAGCAAGAACGGAGGACTTTTGGACATGCAGATTTGTGAACCTCATTCTGGAGACATTCTTGTATCAACACATAAAGCAAGCCAC